TGCAACTTCTCCTGCAATTCCTGGACGTTATTGCATGTGCCGTGCGCTGCCCAGTCTGTCTGAACAAACCCCTTCAGCCCTTCGTGCTTCTCCCACATCGCTTCATAGCGGAAAATGCGCCTTTGTGGTTCTCTCTGGCCCCGCCCTAGGTCAAGTAGAAGAGGGCTATGATCTGATGTTGCCGCCGTAAGATGTTCAAGAGAAGCCGCAGCGAAACGGGCCATCCAGGGTGCGTTTGCTAGTGCCCGATCCAGTCTACATCTGGTATAAGTCCCTCCAACTACTCTCTTTTCAAAAGTCCACTATCTTCCCTTGTAGCCAATATCAAGTAACATACACACATCCACTGTGTCTCTGAAGGCTTGTATTTGAGCATTACTTCTCATCCCAATTCCATCGTGTTCGTTTGAATGTAAAACCTCGTTGAAATCCCCTATGTACATCCATGGAAGGGAGCTAGATGTGCTAATATTTTTCAGAACGTCCCACGTCCGGTATCTCAGGTGAGTTTGAGCCTCGCCATAGACACACGTCAGTCTCCATGCATCATGATTTTCTTCCTGTACAGAAACATCCAGGTGGTAACGAGAGTAACCCAAAATGTCAATCTTTATTTCATTGTTCCAAAATAGTCCAATTCCACCGCTCCTACCCTCACAATCAACTGCATATGCATTATCATATCCCAATGTAGCAGCTAAGCTTTCTACCCTAGATCCTTCTATCCGAGTTTCAACGATACATAACAGGGTAGGGGCAAACTTCCTCGCAAAGCCGCGAAGTTCTTGGACTGTCGCGGCGTTGCCCACACCGCGGCAGTTCCAGCAGAAGTACTCATTGGGCCCGGCGGCGCTCCTCGAAGGAGCCCGCCAAATTCTTCACCGGGATGCTTGAACTTTCTCTTTCTTCTCCTTCTGTCTTTGAGCGCTTCGGGTCTCTGGTCGGGAGCGGACTGACTACATCACCCACCGGGACAATGGCTAGATCTGTGGCACTTGGCTCCCCTTGTTGCTTCCCTGGCACCATAGCATTCTTCCCCGAAACCTTCCTATCCATCCGCTTTCTGCTAGGATCATCAACAGCCATATCCTCCACGCTTGGTTGCAAACCTCGCTCGTGATCATCATTCCTCCCAAAATCTGCACTATCGCTTCTTGGTGTCCCTTTGTTTCCCCTACCTCGGCCTCCACGCCGTCCACCACGGCGACCCCGTTCTCCTCCAGGGCCTGCAGCTCGCCTCATGATCCACGAGGCACGAAGATCCCTAAAGACCAGTGCTTGAGGGGGATGGATTTCGTTGCCATGTTCCTTGAACGTATGGCCTAGATGACCACAAACTGCACACCAATCCGGCAGGCGCTCGCATTTGACCCTGTATATCTGCCTCTTTGACTCCCTCACAAGCGACACATCATTCTTCAGGGGCCCGTGCACGTTGATCTTCACCCAAACACGATAAAAATTGCCAGTAAAGTCATGCAACGACGTTTCTGCGAAAAGTACCTCTCCTACTCTGGCCGCCAGTGTCGGCACCAGGTGTGCATACAGACTAGGGACGTCATGTATTTGGATCCAGATATCCAGGGTATCAAGCTTTACTTGAGATGGTTGGGTCACACCATCGTACAGGGTGATGATCACAGCATGTCCGCGAAAATTCCATGGACCCTCTTCCATGACTCTTTCCCAATCGCCGAGGCAATGGAATTGCAGCGTATAGAGATTATCCTCCAACGGCTTGAAGTTCACCACCTGAGCCAGATCCCAGGCTGCTCACATGTTTCTGAAGAACCAACTTTGGCTGTAGGGTTTTATCGATATGAACCCTAGCTACCGCCATCCATCTAACTGCATCTTGGGGAATAGCACCCTCATCTACCTCCACATCATCCATGTCATCTTCACAGAGGCCCAGCTCCGCCATCATCCTTTCTACCTCCGACCCAGATGAAGAGGCATCAGCCACCGCCGATCCCGAACCCATCTTCGTCGCCATAAGCCAAACCCTAGCCCGATCGCTGCAGAACGCCGGACTGTTGAAACTGTGGTGCTGCCCTACTCCGAGTCGCCGTACCAAGAGAGGGCAAGGATCAGAAGACCCCGCCTCGTCTCGGTGTTCGATCGACGGGAGGGAACAAGGTAGATCTCAACGATGGCGACAGAGTCGCCGCCGAGAGCAAAAAAACCCTAACTAGAGGGAACCACGCAAATGGCAAAAAAATCGAGTGGTCCACATATTAATTTTGCTGGGACGAACTGTCCGAGTTACTGGACCGTCATACTCAGCCCAGGAGTACTAACAAAGCCCAATCTGCAAGTTGAAAGCCGCACAAAAGTGCATAACATATTAACATGCCCCCAGCCCGAACAGTTCCTTAGCTGACCATGGCGGCCCGCCCAAACCGCAGTCCGCGCCTCGACCACCTCTCCCGCGTCCTCGCCTCCGACCACCCGCCCCCGCCGGCGGCCGCCGTGCACGCGCGCCTCATCCGCGCGCACGGCGACACCCCTCCCCCCGTCATCC